ATCTTATCCCATCCACACCCATGATGACCCTCCTCCCAGCGTCTGCCCAGGCTGGTCTGCTACTCGGCCTTTCCCTAAGTCAAAATCCTACCATCCTTCTAATGCAGCCCACCAAGAAGTCCTCCCTGACATTCCCCCCTCCTCTCAACTCCTCCCACTGGCCCCTCCAACACACCCACATGCCTAATGACACTGGGCTTTCCCTTTTTGTCTCACTGTGAGAATGGTGTCATTTCCCCTCCTAGAAGGGGGGGGAGTCAAAAGGCGAGTTCATGTGTGAGTCAGTCCTGGGTCCCCAGAGCTCCCGCCAGAGAAGCCCTGTCCCCCTGCAGTGCCAGTGGGGTGGTCAGTGGATAAGCCTGGCTGCAGGGGTCAGGCCCAGTGACACGGTACCTATCGATGCTAAGACCCTCCCCTTCTCCCATTTGAACACCACTGACCCCAGGCTGTCTCTGACCATCTACGGCCCTGGGTCATTGTCTCCGTCTCTCTGTGGCTCGTAAAGTAACTGTGCATCTCATGACCAGTTGGCTGCCGACTTTGAATACACACTTGTGTAGCACCCGAGTAGGAAAGATTCTCACTGTGCAAAATACTGAGGTCAGGTACCCCTTACTGGCCACACCTCCCCCACTCTCCACCTCTGGAGCATCCCTCCCAACCTCCAGAGGGGCCCTCCAGTTCTCTGAGAGGGCACATAGCTTGGTTTCACTTTTGTTTATAAATGAGATCAGAGTCTATGTGCTGTTTTGTAGCTTGCTGTTAAAAAGCACCTCCCTGCCTTGGGAATCTGCATAAGGCGGACAGTGTAGAACTAACTATTGTTCCAACTCTGTGGGATTTCGTCCTGCCCCATAGCCACACATTCAAGTGTTCCAGCTTAGGTGACAAGACGCTGTGAGTGTCAGGCTTCATCGGCCATTGGAGTTTTAATTTCACTCCTGCTCTGCTGTCTCCAGTGACAGTGCTCTGGGAGGCCCTTCTCACCCACCCCGCAGAAAGCTGCAGACCCTTCCCAGGGTGGTGGGAGACAGAAAGCTGAGGTTTCTCTGCTTTCTGGCCTGCTTCCTCCTAACCTTCCTCGCTCCTTCCTCCCCACTTTGCCCTTGCCCCTTTGTCCCCTACACCAAAGATGGAGGGAAAACCTGTTCCCCGAAAGCGCTTCCCTCTTACCCTGGGTTCTGTCCTGGGTTCTGCCCCAACCAGCAGACCGCCAAGCAGAGGGGAGCCTCTGGGAACGACTGGGCTGTCAGATGGGGCTGGTGACATTTTTCAAAAGAGTGGTGGCAGAGAGCGGGAAGAGCACCCACCTGACCAACCCAGGGCCTTCACCCTGCTCCTGGGGAGACTGAGGCCCAGTGCAGGGCCAGGCTCTTCCTGGAGTCCCACAGGATTCAGGCTCAGAACCTCTGGGCGACACTATTGGTGTCTCCGTCTGTGCTCCCGGCTGTCTCCCCTATCAGCATGAGCTGCCATGACTGCCTGCCACCGCTACCTGCTCTTTGGGGTTACAAGCACCTCAGTAGCTTCCCCTGGCTCAGAGGACCAGCATATTCACCAGTTCACCCACTGAGTGGCCCCAGCTGTATATCGGGTGCTGTGCTAGGCGTAGGGATACAACAGTGAACTGGACAGGATAACCCCTGTCCTCTTGGAGTGGAATAAACGAATGAATGGATGAATGAATGAAGGCCTGAACCTGAACCTGGCATCTCAGGAATCTCATCCCAAATCCACCTTTCCTTCATTTCACTCATTCAGTTGTCAAGTGGCAGAGAAAACCCTGCTTCCCTTGCTCTTATGAGTATCAGATGATCAGTCCACAGTTTTCTAAGCATGACCCGGTATTGGAACTCCCCTGGCATGTATTTAAAAATACAAATTCCAGCCGGGCTCAGCGGCTCAGCCTGTAATCCCGCGCCTTGGGAGGCTGAGGTGAGTGGATTGCCTGAGCCCGCGGGTTCGAGACCCGCCTGGGCAGCAAGACCTCATCTCTACAATAAATCAAAAAATCAGCTGGGCGAGGTAGTGCATGCCTGTAATTCCGGCCACTTGGAAGGCTGAGGCAGAAGGATCGCCGGAGCCCAGCAGGTCGAGGCTGCGGTGGCCAGGAGTGGCCACTGCACTCCAGTCTGGGTGACAGAGTGAGACTCCAACTCAAAATAAATAAATAAATAAATAAAAATTAAAAATCAATAAAAATACAAATTCCTGGGCTCCTCCCAGAGCTGCTACACCAGAGAGGCTGACCCTGGGGTATTCAGGTCATTGGAGAAAGCTTGCGGCTCCCACTTCACTGGACTGCCATCTCCCCATCCCACCTGCCAGCCCAGTCATGCTCCAACTGCCCCTGGGGGCTTCCTCAGGACTGACCTGACCCAGTCCTCAGGGCAGAGCCCCGGTCTCAGTAATCTAGCGACCCCTCCCAGGCCTCTACCCACACTGCTCCCTCTGCTTGCCCCCTCTCAACTCTCCTCCTTGGCCACACCAGCCCCTGGTCTTGGCTCCCCTGTGACCCACATGGGTATGGACATCCCACCCACAATGTCCAGGCACCTCACTATGCTGTCCCACGGTCCTGTCCTGGTACACACAAGACTTGGAGCACCCGAAAACGGGGACACTACTGGGGTCACAATCCCCACACGTGACAGGATGGGAGGGTTCAGTAATTTCTCTCCTTCCCTTTTCCCTCTGTCTTCAAGCAGAATGCCCCTGGGAAGTCAGGGGTGACAGTGGGTCTGGAGACCAAAGAAAGATGAAGGAGAAGAGGGAGAGACTGTGCCCTGCAACCCAGAGAGTCCCCTCAGACCCTGGATGTGCATTCAGCACACCGGGTCCACCTGTCCTACCTGCTTGGCGGCCCAGCTCCATCAACTCTTGCTCTTGGACAGGTAATTCCAAGCTTAGTCCTGTAGACAAAGCAACACACTTCATCGTCTCAGATGACACACACAGTCTCTGTGAACAGGATGAGCTGGGAGTTGCACAGGGGCCCTGTGGCCGTCTGCCCAGTCCCTGACCAGAGGTCCTCAGGCTGCTCTTGGTGCTCTCTGGCACTTCCCAGACCCAAAGAGCCCCTGCCCCACCCACCCATCACCGCTGGCCCTGGGCCTGCTTCCTGGACCCCCCCAGATTCTGCTGTCTCTGAAAAGCCTGGTCTCTCCCCCTGACCACTGGTGCCTCAAAGGCCTTTCTCAAGCAGCCCTAGGATCCTGGGCTCCTTCTTTTCTTTTCTCTTCTTTTTTTTCAAGTCGGGGTCTCACTCTGTCACCTAAGCTGGAATGCAGGGGCATGATCATGTTGATCACGGTGCATGGCAGCCTCGACCTGCTGGGCTCAGGCAATCCTTTTGCCTCAGCCTCCCTAGTACTGGGACTACAGGTGTGCACCATCATGTCTGGGTAATTTTTAAATATTTTTGGTCTCACTATGTTGCCTAGGCTGGTCTCGAATTCCTGGGCTCAGCGATCCTCCTACCTCAACCTCTCAAAGTGCTGAGATTACAGGCATGAGCCACTGCACCCGACCCTTGGGTTTCTTTTACTCCTTCATCTTTTTCTTCCATTTCCTCTTCCTCTTCTTCCACCAGCACTACCCTAGGAGCCGCCAGCAGGCCCCTGGCTGTGGGACCACTGCCCTGCCCCCTATTCTGGTGACTATTTGTCTCTCTGCAAATAGGGTTGTAACCACTTTGCTGGATGGTCATTCATGGTCGGAAAAGGGAAGCCCCTTGGCACTGTGGAGGGGAGCTGAGAGCAGAGCCCCACACTCTGAGGTAACCTCAGCCTTCTTTGTGAGGAAGAGCCTTTGGGCAAAACTGGAGGGGCGGCTCTGGCATCTTCAAAAGCCTCTGCGGCTTCCATGTTTGAGTTCCCCCCCCATGATCTTTTCGTTATTTACATTCTCTGATTTTATCACATTTGGGTTTTTTCCTAGGTTTTTGCAAATTTTGTCGTATAAATAAAATAAAGCCTGGCCCTGCAAGGTAAATGTCTTTGTAATAAGGGAGAAATAGAAGCAACAAGTCAGGGTTGGAAGGGATCTTTGAGGACTAAAAGGCCCAGAGAGGTGTGACTTGCCTAACGTCACCTGGGCAAGTCGGTTTCCTGGTAAGTTCAAAGTAGGTAGGAATCAGATCGATTTTATTCTCTTGAAAAATTCCCAAGTAAAACATCCTATTCATTTTGACACTTAATAACCATTTGATGATTGTGCCACTGTTGATATGATTCCCAATGATCTCTTTCCCCCTGGAATTCACACACTGTATAATCCCTTCACCCTTGAGTACAGGCTGGACCAAGTGGTGGGATGTCACTTCCAGGAATGTTAATGACGTCTGTCTTATTCGTACACCCTCCTTGGCCCTCCTTGTTTGCTTGCTCTGAAGGCAGCAACTGTCATGTTCTGAGCTGCCCTGTGGAGGGACCCATGTGGGGAGGAACTGAGGGTGGCCTCTGGCCAAAACCTCCTAAGGAACAGAAGCTCTTGCTCCAACAGTCTCCAGAGTACTGAATGAATCCTGAACCTGGAGGAGCTTGGAAGCGGATCCTTCCCAGGGTGAGCCTTGATATGAGAACACAGCCCAGGTGACACTTTAATTACAGTCTGTGGGATACTCTGAGTCAGAGGACACAGCCAAGCCACAAGCAGGATCCTGACCCTTAGAAACTTAGTGGGTCACAAATAGATCATAAATCTGTGCTCTTCCAAACACATAGTTTTAAGTTGCTGAGCTTTGTGGTCATTTGTTATGCAGCAGTAGATAACTAATACATATTTTTATAACAAGAGTGGGCTGTTGGTATACCAAATACCAAAAAGTGTAGGAGTGGCTTTGGAACCAAGCAGCAGGCAGAGCCGGGAAAGATTTTGAGAAACACAATGAAAAAAGACTAAATCACCCTAAACAATTTATTAGCGGAAATCTGGACTCAGAGAATGCTGCCAGGAAGGGCACAGAAGGAAGTCAGAAATGTGTAATTATAACTTAAAGGGAAAAAGTCCCATATTACATGGGGGCAGAAAGTCATGACACTTATGTGACAAGCAGAACGTGTGACTATAAGCTGAACAATTTAGCTAAGGAGATTGTGCCAAACAAAGCATTGTAGTTGCCTCCTGGTTTCTTCCTTCTGCTTGTAGTGAAATGTGAAAAGAGGGAGATCAATTGAAGGAAGGACTGTTAAATAAAAAGATTCTAGGACTTAATGGTTTTGAAAATTCTTATCCTCTCTAGATGCCAAAAGATGTTAAAATTTAAAAAAACAGCTTTCAGAACACTGCCATGAAAAATGTGGCCAAGAGTATGACTGCACAACTTCCTGTTAAAACTTTAGAAAGACCAAAGGATCAGAGTTTTACAGTCACACAAAGGGCTCTTTAAAGAGATTAAGGATTCACCTCATATATCCCATTAATGAAATCACCAGGCCTCTAAGAAGCTTAAGGGAGTTGTCTCTCAGCAAGAGTACTTGGTTAAAAAGGTTGTGGTTTTTCCAGTGGAGTGAACCCCTATAAGGTTCACAGTTTTTGAGAAAACTGTATCAGCAATAGTACTGGTAGCTTGGAGTGAAAGGGAGACAGTAAAAAATGAAAAGAAACCACTGGGGGGAGAAAAAATGAGTCTGTAAGCAGAAACCAGAGTCCTTAGAGCAGAGCTGGGAGTGATGGAGAATTATTTCCAGGTCCTGAAATTGAATCAAGAAATGTCCAACTTTTGTGTGGCTGCATTTCAAAATTGCTGTGGACCAGTGATGGTTTTGTGTCCATTTTCCTCATTTTTTTTTTAATAGGAATGTTGACAGCTGTTATCCTATGCCTATCACATCATTGTATATCGGGAGTGCTCGGGGCTGATGGACTCAGTTCATAGGGCCACCAAATGGAGAAGAACTGAACTCAAGAAGCTCTACTCAAGGAATGATATCCAAGGAGCCTCATTCACATGCAGATCTGGTTTAGATGAACAGATTCCAGATTTTAAGCTGATGCTGTAATAGGATAAGACTTTGAGAGACTGTGGGAGAGTATGAATGTATTTTGCATGTGGAAGGAACATATATTATTGGAAACCAGAGAGCAGACAGTGGTAGGCAGTTGGCATGGTTAAAAAACAGGGATCTGTTTTTTGGTATCATTCCCTCCCTTGAGTGTGGGCTGGACCTAGTGACTTGCTTCTAATCAGCAGAAAATGGCAAAAGTGAGGGATGTCACTTCCAGGATGAAGCTATAAAAGACTGTGACTTCTGCCTTGGTCACGCACTCTCTCTGGCCCTCCTTATTTGCTTGTTCTGATGGAAGCCAGTTTCCATATCGTGATCCCCCCTGTAGAGAGGCCCTCATGGCAGGAACAGAGAGTGGCTTATGAGGAACTGAATCCTACCATGTGGCTGGCCTTGGAAAGGATTCCATCTCTGTTTGAGCCTTGAGATGAGCCTGGAGTCCCAGGCAACACCTTGACTGCAACTTGTGAGACTCTGACACAGAAAACCCACCAAAGCTGCATCTTTATTCCTGGCTTACAGAAACTGGGGGAATAAATGTTACTATCTGCAGCCCCTAAGTTTTGGGGTGATTTGCTGTGCAGCAAGAGATATTACAACTCCGTGCCAAGTATTCTCACATCCAGTAGATTAGTCTATATTCACAAGTACCCAGTGAGGTGAGGTATTCGGAGAAACTACAAACTCGCCCTCTGTCACAGATAGAGAAACTGAGGCTCAGGAAAAAAATAAAACTTTATCCAGGTGGAGCTAACTGTAAGCCACACATCTTCAAGTTAACTGAAGTTCAAGTTAGCTCCTTCAAGTCAGCTTTCTGCTCCAGTCCCAGTCCCCCATCCTGAGCCACCCACCTGATGTGCCCACAGAAACAGTCTGTCTGCCTCCATGTCTAGAGCAGCCTGTACTGGCTGGAACTTCCAATTTCTGACCTGGAGAGATGGGTCCCAAGAGATGTCAGTCAAGGAAGGCAAGAAGGCAGGTCCAGTGGCAGTAGGGCCACTCTTCACTCACAAGCAACTCTGAATGGGGAAAAGGCAAATGAAATCCCATGTCCTGGAAGAGCCCCGACCCACCTCATAAGTCTCTGCCTCACCTCTGCAATCTCCTCATACTATCAGGAAACATGGGAGCCACACTGGTGTGTGCTAAAGCCCAGGAGGCTACTGGGGATGACCAGAGGATGGTTGCTGGGAGCAGCTCTCCCCAGATGTTCATTGGAGTTGCCATGGTGATCACTACACACAGGGCTCTGTTACCTCAGAGGGCTTAAAGGCCCACCCTCAGGGAAGAGAGGCTAGGGTCAAGCCAGGACTGAGGAGGCAGGAGAGGGCCTTCATTTGCTGTGTGCTCTTTCAGTCACTCAAAAATGTCACCCAAGAACCCACCCGGTGCCTGGTGTGTGCCAGGCACAGAAGGCCCAGATGCCGCCAAGTGCAGTGCAAAGGAAGTCCTCAGGAGTACAAAGGGATAAGTAGAGAATGACTGTCTGTCTGGGGGAAAGGAGGCAGGGTTCACAGAAGGGCCATCTGAGCTGGATCTTGAGGGATGCATAAGAGCTTAACAGTTTAGAAGGGATGACACTCTTTTTGGTTTTTGGGGTTTTTTTTTTTGTTTTTTGGTTTTTTGGTTTTTTTGAGTTGGAGTCTCACTCTGTCACCCAGACTGAAGTGCAGTGGCCTCTCCCAGCCACCGCAGCCTCGACCTGCTGGGCTCTGGCGATCCTTCCGCCTCAACCTTCCAAGTAGCTGGAACTACAGGCACACGCTACCACGCCCGGCTAGTTTTTTGATTTATTGGAGAGATAAGGTCTCGTCAAGTTGCCCAGGTGGATCTCGAACCCGCAGGCTCAGGCAATCCACTCATCTCAGCCTCCCAAAGCGCGGGATTACAGGCTGAGCCAGGAGCCCGGCTGGGATGACACTCTTAAAGGCATGGATTGTTTAACAGCATAAATCCAAGTCAGGGGGGCGGGGAGGGGAAAGGAAATATGCACCTGGAGCTGTCTGAGCTGGATGCCTGGGGATCAGGTGCCATAGAGTGAAACTTAAGCAGGGGTGGGACAGTCCGGACCCTCTCTTCTCCCCTTGAACCACAAGGAGGCTGAAGGAGATGAACCATGTTAAGTGACTTCCTTTCTGCTGAGAAGGAGGTAGAAGTCCTTGGTGCCAGAGCCGGCTCAGGCCTGTCTGGCTACTGCTCAGCAGGGGTGAGGGATGAGGGTAGGGAATGCCTCCTGCACACCCAGCCTTCCCTCCCGGGGGACAGAAAACACTGTGGTTACTCTTGGGGCACCCAGAATCTGATCTTGCCACTCTTCAGATGAGCAACTGTGACCGAGTTTGTTAGCTGAACTTTTCTTGTAGATGAAATATACAACCCATCTTTAAGGGTAAAGGTGGAGATCGAATAAAATTACTTTGGGGAGATGCCTAGCACATTGCCTGGCACAGATAGACATCACAAATGACTCTAGGATAAATCCACAAGCAGCCCACCTGAAAATCCTTCAAAATGCATAGGGCTTGGACCCCCTCATCTACCTCCATATCTGTCCCCCCCCACCCATGCCCCGGGCCAAGCCACCCCCATTGCTTGTCTAGGTTAACATGGTGGCCTCATCACCAGTCTCCCTGTTTTTGCTCTTGTCCTCTGTATTAGCTAGGCTGCATGACAATATGGCCACAAACTTAGAGCATAATGCACAATTATCATCTCAGTAACTGTGGGTCCAGAGTCTGCACATGGCTCACTGGATCCAGTAAGCCGGCTTTGGCTCTTAGCAGTCTAGGTACTGACCGGGGTTGTAGTCTCATCTGAAGTTCCACTGGGGAAGGATATGCTTCCAAGCTCACATGGCTGCGGCAGATACAACTCCTTGACGTTTGTTGGACTGAGGTCCTCAGGCTCCTGCCAGCCTACGGCCAGAGGCCATTCTATGGGACCCCCAACATGCCACAGTCTTCACCAAAGCCAGCAAAGAGAAGGGTCCCCTAGCAAGATGTGCTTTACAATCTCATGCACCATGATTACAGAAGTGACATCCATCATCCTTGCCATACATTGCTGGTTAAAAGCAAGTTATAGGCCCCACCCATTCTAAAAAGGAGGGTCATATGAGCATGAACACAAGGAAGCAGATATCATGGGGGGACCATCCTGGAGTCTATCCACCACTTCCTCTTATAGACTTGTCACCTCAACAGTTAAACCTATGTCTGTTAAAACCTATGTCAGATCATGTCGTTCCTCTAATCAAAACCTTCTGGTAGCTTCCCACCACTTCAATCAGAGTAAAAGCCCAAGTCCTCCCATGTACCTGCAAAGCCCTATCTGATGTGCCACCCCTTCTCCTCTAACCTCAGTCCCTCCCATTCTCCTATTTGCCTCCTTGACCCCAGTCATGCTGGCCTCTGCTGTTTCTTGAACACACCAAGCACAGTCCTGCCTTAGGGCCTTTGTACTGACTGCTTCCTCTACTACAACTTCCTTTTCTAGATGTTAACATGATTTGCTTCTTCACCTCTTTCTGGATTCTACTCACCTTCCCAGGTCACCTTTCCTAAAAGCTGTCCTGGCCCACCCCCTACTCCCATGTCCCCTGCCCCATCTTTCTTCCATTGCATTTTATCACCATTTGACACACTATGCGTTTTCTCCACTCCCCCCCCCATAGGGTGGGAACCGTGTGTCGTGGTAGGACTTTTGGCTACTGCATGGAGGCGAGAAGGGTATTTCTCACCACCCCATCCCTCCAGTTCGTATCCCAATGACCTGTCTTCAGCCCCACCCCCAGCCCGGCTGCCCCTCAGCCGAGCTCCTCAGCATTGGCGCCTATTTGCCCTGACTCTGGGCTAGGAGCTAGGGTCCCCACAGACAAGCTTGGTCCCTGGCCCTCCAGGACCCTGTCTTCACCCAGGAAGTTTGCAAATTCAGGAGGGGTCCCCAGCAGGTGGGGCCTGGGGTTCATCTTGTAGCCCCAGAAGCAGGTTTAGAGAACCTACTTCTGGGAAACTCAAATCCAGGTAACGGGACCAGTCTACTCGTTCCTTTCTTCTGCTGCAGCTTCCTGACATGCCTGCCAGAGTGCTCAGACTTTCTCCCAGGGACTGAAGCTGCTTCTCCAGCCCCTCCCTCCATCACTCCCCAGAGGGTCTTCTTCTGAGCCAGGAAGGCTGTCCAAGTTCAGAGGCCACCTGCCTTTCGCCTGTCTTGAGCATCACACACATGACCCCTCTTTGGACACTCATTTGAAAGGCCAGCTGCCCCGCCCACACCCACGGGGCTGGGCCTGCAGTGGGAGGGTTTTCACCTCTCTGGCTTCCTGGCACCACCCCCAGCCCCACCCCCGTCCGCCTTCCCAGTGTGTGCTGTGCAGCAGAGGCCACCTGGCATGGGATAGCAGGAGGCTTCCTCTGTCAAAGCTGAATAATACAGTGGTGTCCTCAGCGCTGCTTCCCCAGCTGGAGATTGCCACAGGGGGCCACTTTATTTGATAGAGTCTAAGCAGACTAGGAAGTGGGAGTTTGGGGCAAGTTAGGAACCCAGGGTAAGGCAAGCAAACGTGCTACTCAGAAAAGGCAGCGTTTATTCCAGTGTTGACAGGGAAAGGGTGGGCTCTGCTCACTGATTCTAAAACATGTCAAGTTCCTTCGCCTGGGAGGTGTGAGCCAGTTGCAGGTCACAGGTCGCTAAGTGGCTGGAGGCATGGTCGGGGGGAGGTCACGACTCAGGCCTTCCCACCCTTCCCCTGGGACACGCAGGTCTCTGGGGGTGCCCGGCGGAACCACTCGCCCCAGGAGCCGTCGTACACAGCCACATCAGGCTTTCCACAGAGGTAGGCGGCCAGGGCCACGTGGCAGGCAGTGACCCCCTTGCGGCACGTGGCAATGAGGGGCTGTGTGAGATCCACCTTCTTGGCCTGGAAAAGGGCCCGGAGCTCTTCAGGGCTCTTCTCAAAGCCGTCCTCCGTCAGGAAGTTCACGAACGGCATGTTGAGAGAGCCACGGATGTGGCCAGAGTCCAGCCCTGGGTGGGGACAGAAGACACGGGTTAAGGGGGACCTGGAAGTGGGGACTAGTGGGGCCTGGAGGCTGAAGTCAGCCTGGCTGCTGTTAATGCCTATGCCTGAAGACACCTGCACCTCCTCCCCTAACACCTGTCTTGAAGTAGAGACGTCAAAACTCAGAGCTGCTTGACAGAACGGGTGTGAGTCTCAGCTCTACGAACCTTTTCACTAATCTTTACGTGGGCAAACCACGCCACTTCCCTGAACCTCAGTTTTCTCATCCACAGAATGGGCTCAGGGGTCCATACCTACCTCAAAGGTTTGCTGAGAGGAGCAAATGAACAAATGAATGCAAATGCTATGTGCTGTGCCCAATGCTGAGAACACAGCATGGAAGGGGAGACAGTCCAGGCCCTCCAGGAGATCAGTCAGTCTAACAAGGAAGACAGATGGTAAACAGACAGCCACATCAATCATTAAGTGTGTCACTCCATTTTTCAGATGAACACACTGAGGTCCGGTGAAACAAAATGGCTCACCTGAGACCACAAAGAGAGGCCAAGGCAGACCCAGGTGACACCGGCCTCTCTGGTTTTCTGTCAAGCACACAGTTGCAGAAAGAGCACGTGACCTGGTGTTGGACAGAAGGTCAAGTCACGTCACCTCTCAGAGCCTCAGTTTCTCCATGGGTAAAATGGGAATGAGTACCCACCTGTGTAAGGGCTGCTGTATGGAGTAACTGACACAAGAAAGCACTGGGCTACTGAGGCTGGCCAACCGCCCTCGGGTGCTATGGCCCGCAACCCTTCACTGCCTCTTGTAGGGGGAAGTGTGGCCCCTTCCAGGCCCTCTCAAAAGCTTAGATGAAGGCAGGGGCGTCTAGGCTGGTTCTGAGTTTTTTTCCAGAACTGTCTCAGCACCCGGTGAGGCCCCTCCACCAAATCCCGCTTCAGAATAGCCAGTCAGTGGGGCACAAGCAATGGGCTGTGGCCAGAGCTGGTGAGGCCCACAGGGCAGAGGCCCCAGGCCAATCCACACATGCCCCAGGCTGCTCCCCTTTTTCTCACATACCCCCATAGCCTCAAAGGCTTTGGGCTCTGGACTGGGGCCCCACTCAGGCCTGTCTCCATCTCTCTGGGGTTTTCTTGCTTCAAAAATCCCTGTGCCCCATTAAGCCCAGACCACAGGGTGGGGCAGGATCAGGGTGACAGGAGAGGGAAGGGACCTGAATGGTGTGAATTGGGTGCACACTGAGACTGTGTGTAGCCGTATGCAGCCAGGAAGGCCCTGCACCTCCCAGCTTTAGTCACCCTCCTGTGGAACGGGAGGCAACCCCCACCTCACAGGTGTGGAGGAAGTTTAGCTACTACAGGTAAAAGTTCCTAGGGACCTCGGGTACACAGGTGAGCGATCATGCCAGCAATGTCCTGGTCCCCTCACCAGAAGCCAAAAAAGACTCCAAAGTCCATTAGCACAAGCTAAGTTTGAACAGATGTCCCGGCTTATAAAATCACAGCGATGTCTTCCTGTTGCTTTCTTTCTTTTCTCAAACCTGTATGACATAATCTTTTTTGTCTGGAAACATTAATCTGAGATCAAGTGTGTGCTATACTGGCTGGCATCACCAAGAAACCTCGCTTAAGAGTGTTTTTGTATACAGAGTGGGCTGGATTTCAGCGCATTTATAAGCACCAGTATTTGACCATGTCTCTGCCCCCACAACCAAGAAACAGCCCCACTGCCTTCTCTGGTTATATACAGGGCGTTTTTCTGAGTCAAGATGAAGTCAGGGAGTTTTTGCAGAGCCTGGTGCCTCACCCCTGGCCAGCCTTGGAGGTGGGGTCCTCCTTTTCTCTCTGCCAGTGAGGGCTCAGGGCCTGCCTGGGGCATTTAAATGAGCAGGGACCAGTGTCTGTGTGGGAATGGCTGTGATGAACCGGGCCAGGGAAGCTTGGAGAACAGCCAAGTGGAGAAAAGGCTCCTGGGCCCCAGAGCAGAACTCCCATGCAGACCCATGGTTTTCCCTGCCCCCGCAGGCAGACCTCCAGCCTCAGAGCCTCGGGCACCAGGCACTGACAGGCAGGTGCTCTCTAAACTTCAGCTTCCTTAATCTTCACAAAGCTGGGGAGATTATCCGCCTGGCACTGAAGGGGAGCCCACACAGAAAGGTGAGGTAACTTGCCCCAGGACACACAGCAATGGTGTACGAAGTGAAGTCAGGTCAGTTCAACCTCAAAGTCTGTGTTCTCTGACCACCCTAAACCTCCCAGGAAAAGACGGCTGAGGCCGGAAAATGGATGAGATGACCTTTTGCGCTCAACTGCTGAGGCCTAGGACTTTGTGTTCCAGCTTTGGCCAAGAAGATGCCAGTCAAGCTGGTGGGTTAACATTCCTCAGGCCACTGATAGGTGTGGATTTTTCAAGGCCAAAAAAATCTGGTTGGCCCTTTCTGGTTTTCCTCCAAAAGACACTTAGGAGTTCAGTGCAGGCCGCCCAGAGGGCAACCACTCCACAGGGCAACTCCTCAACCCCAGCCACAGGGAGACAGCCCTCCACCCTCCCATCTCCCTCACCCAGCCCCCCGGCCTGGGAGGGGACACAGACAGAGAGGTTTCTGCGTCCCATGAAGCAACAGCGAAGCGGCACCGTGGCACTGTGACCTTTCCTCCCAGTCCCGGAGTTTGCTTACAGCTCACCCCACCCATGGCAGTGGCCTTGGGAATCATCCCACTTTGATGTCTGCCGACTCAGGGTCAAGCCTTGGCCCTTCTGCCTTGCCAGAGAAGTCTCTTCTCCCTTCCCAACCTGCAAAGCGGCACCGAGTCTAACACCTGCCCCCCCGCTTCGGGGCTGCTGCGGGTGTCCAGAAGAGACTATAAATATAGGGTCCTGCATTAAAAATGTCCCTTAGGGGCCCATATTACCTCCTCTCTCCCCAACTCCCCCACTCCAAGTGGGAGGCAAGAAGAGTAAGTTTACAAAGAAACGCCCTGTGTCTCTCACCGCCCCCACCTCTCCCATGAGGTAAGCAGCGTTCCTTTCGTGAAAAGGACAGTTCACTGGCCTGTGGTCACACATCTGTGCCACGCCTGGATGTAAACGAGGGTCTGTCTGACTCCAGGATCGAAGGCACTTGGAGGCACAAATCAAAGGCCTGAGAGGAAGCTGCTTGCCTAAGGTAGGCAGGAAGTAACAGTCAAGTTTCTAAGACCTGGCTTCCAGCTCCTCCTTGGAGTCCATCTTCCAGGGATGCTCAGGCCTGACCCCCACATGCCCCTGTGGAGTGCCTCCCTGACCCCACCCCAGGCTGACAGAGCTTGGTAGACCCCCTGTGCCTTTGCATCCCCCAAAATGTCTTGCATAGGAGGCCAGCAAAGCCTCTTGGAGGAGGGAGGAAGTGCCATCCTCTTGGTCTTTCTAGATGGCCCTGGCCTTTCAATGGCTGCTCACTCCTCTGGAAGGCCTTTTCCAGTCACTGCTGCATTTAAATAAATACATACCCAGCTGAGTAGGGCTGATGTTGCTCCTTTCACTTTGTGATAAGGGAACCGAGAGGGGCCACACCGTTGCATGGAGGTCACCCCAAAGAAATGGCTGAGCTGAAATAGAACCCACGTTCCCTGGTGCTCTGGAGGGAACAGGATGGCAGAGGACAGGAGGAGCCTCTGAACTCCAGGCCTTCAGAGGGTATTACCCGCTGTGTACCGTTTCCCCTCTCAGAACCTCGGTTTCCTCATCTACAAAGTGAGAGTGAGGGGACTGGGCCTGGCACCCCCGAGCTCCCCCTTTCACTCATTTCTCAGGCTGCTTCAGGGCAGGCTGGGAAGCAGCAAGAGAACCAGCTCCACCATTCCTCCTCCGTGGCAGCTTAAGTCCCAGTGAGAAATGGAGTCTAGAACCCAGGTCAGGAGGGGTCTGCGGGTGCTCCGTGCCAGGAGTCTCTGAAAGGTACCAAACGAACTTGGATCTTCAATGTCAGACCCTCAGAGAGCCGGGCAAGAGAAACATGGGACCTGGAAAAAGCAGTGCTGGGGAGGATGGAGCCCTGTACTGTGCCACTAACTAGCTGTGTGGCCTTGACCCCTAACTCTGTGCACCTCAGTCTCCCCTCTGTTGGATGAGGTAAACTTTCAGGCTCTCCAGCTCTCAGAGTGTGCAAAACAGCTTTGCAGCATTCTTTCCCTTAGAGGCACAGGCAGGAAAACATGTTTTTCAACAAGTTAGGCAAACTGTTGCACACAGATTAGATACTGTAGAGAAGGAGCTCTGACTAAGGAAAAAGCACCAAAGAGGTGCTGGCCATCCTGAGGGCTCAGGCCAGCCTGGGCCAGGATAGACCCCAGATAAAAAGTCCCTGTCCTGTAGGTGTCTCAGCGGGGACGGGGCGCCCCGCAGGAGTGATGGTAGTAAGAGTCCAGTCCTGTGCCCAGAAAAGGCAAGACCTCCATGGTTCCCTCTGGTTAGGACATTCTAGAACGCAGCATTTCCTCTCCTGAGGCTCCCCCACCTGTCACGCAGTGTTGACTCCTCCTGGTCTCCCCTTCCACAGGAGGGGGACTCACAAGCCACCTCCCTGGGGATATCTAGCAGAGGAGACGCCCTCCCAGCCTTGGGAGGTAGGAGCAGGTCAGGTTGGGGCACATCCTGGATTAGAACACTGGTTTGAAACAAGACTCAAGGTTCAAATCCTGGCTTCCACTACTTAACTAAGCAAGCAATTTGCTGTCCTGGCGTCTCAGCCCTCCCCCCACACCCCGAAAATAGGAGTATTGAGCTTTGTTGGATGGGATAACACAGTGCCAAGTGTCTAGCCTGAAATGGCAACTGTTGTTACCGCTCTGCAGACAGGCTGCAGCTGCTTGGAAAGGTTATCCAAGAGCCTGCCTTTGCAAACACCACTCAGGGCACCCAGGGGAGCGGGGAGCGGGGCTGGGGGAAGAGCACTGTTGGTGTCTGCAAGGGTTTTGGGGGGACTGAAGAGGTCTGAAGAAGCTGGGTTTGTCCTTGGGAGGCTTCCAGACAGCAATGCAAATGTTGGTGTCTGGCATATCATCCTCTGGTATACCCAAGAGAGTGTAGGGGAGCTGGTGCCTGGGAGTGGGCATGGGTGGACGTATCACCCATCACTTCTGCTGCTACTCCACACAGGCACGAGGTCACTTGCTAGCACGTGGCTATAGGGACACATTCTAGGATCTCACACAACAGAGCTAGGAACCCTTTTAGGTTTGGCTCTACTCTCATTTTATAGATGGGAAGCCTGAGGCCAACGTGGGGGACAGGGGACAAAATCTGGAGGGGGTTCCAGTCATCCTCCCTATCTTTCCATTGAGCAAAACTCCCCGGGGACCACCCAGTATTGGGACACCTACCTACTGCATCCGGCTCCGGCTCAGTGCCCAGGTACCGCCCTGGGGACCGTGCATCCACCAGCTGGAACCTCTTAGACTTGAGGTTATCCAGCACCTGCTCATAGGTCTTGAGCAGGGAGCCGTCCAGTGTGGCTTTGAAGATGGCTGGCTCTGGGCGTGAGGGTTCGGACGTCACGGGGTGGCCCTCCTTCAGCCAGTTCCGGAAGCCCCCATTGAGCACGGACACCGTGCGGTGGCCAAACACACGGAACATCCACCAGACCCGCGGGGCATAGAAGCTGCCCAGGCTGTCCCCGTCATACACCACCACGTGCGTGTCGTTGCTGATGCCCAGGCGGCCCACGTAGTCGGCGAAGCCCGCCTCGCTGGGCAGCATCATCTCGTAGGGCGACGCTGTGTCCCGGCACTCCTCGATGTCGAAGAAGGAGGCGCCGGGCACGTGGCGCTCCAGGTACTCCTTGCGGGCCTCGCGGGTGCCCGGGGAGTACCAGGAGGCGTCCAGCACCCGCAGGCCAGGCCCCAGCTTGCCAGTCCGCACGGACTCCGCCAGCCACTTGGTGGAGACCAGCGCCCGGTAGAGCACCTGATGAACCATGGCTTCCGCGCTGCGAGTCACCTGGCGCGGGCGGGGACCGGGAAAGAGACAGGCGTGAGGAGGACGGCGCGCGCCGTGGGGCGGCGG